CCCTGTAAGGCGCGGAGCCACAGAGACTGGCGAAACGTCAGGAAGAACAACCTTCAGAACACCCCAAAGAGCCCGAAAAACCCACAACAACCATTGCGAGTTTCTGTTAGGTCTGAAATACAAATTCATTTTTAAAGTCTGATTTTTCCTGGTTTTAAAAACTGCGTTGGCTTTATCTGATGTTTATCTTTACTGGGTGTCTTGAGAAACAGGGCTTGTGGGAGGTGCTGCATTATATTATATATTGCTTTCATTATTTGAATGCGTGCATATTTTATTTTAAGACCCAAATAGTTCCAGTTAGGAAAAACAAGGTTGCTAAGAGATACGGATGATGGAAATACCAGAGCCTAGCACATTCCTTTCTTATTGTGCCCATTCCGATCATATCTTTGGGCATCTCAGAAGACCAAGGGGATTTTTAAGGGAGCATTTTATTCTTTGTTTGTACAGTACTTGTGGTTTTAATATTGTTCCTAGTAGTAGTTTTAATGTATTTGTTTACTGCCTTTTAAAGGTGATAATTTATTACTTGGCTTTTAACTTTACTTCTTTTAAATACGGTAAGCTGCCTTGGATCCTTCAGGAGAAAGGGGGCAAATAAGTATTTTAAATAAAATAAAATATTTTAAATAAAAGGAAATTAAAGTAAATAATAAGAGAGGAGTCACTGGTGAAGACTGTAATGGTGAAATGTTGAAGACAGTAGGAAAAGAAGACCAAATATGAGATGAATTAATTCAGTAGAAGTCACAACCGTGCGTTTGCAAGAACTGAGCAGGACTGTTAATGGAGAGGACCTTCCAGAGATTATAGGGTCAGTTTAAGTCTGAAACAACTTGATGACACAAGTAGAATCCTCCCAATACAATATCCTTAGAACATTCCTAAGGGTGTCTCAGCTCCAGTTCTGTATTTCCTGGATAACAAGGCCCCCTCATCTGAACACAGTGTAACTTGCTTCATGTTCATCCTCAGTGCATTTGTAATCTGAGAAGGGATGTTCTTCTTATACGTACAAATGAGGAATCAGTCCTCTCTTTTATGCCCTTCACTGGGAGAAAGGTGGGATATAAATTAAGTAAATAAATAAATATTTATCCACTGTATATTTTTCTTTTTCTTCCCCTTTCATCTTTTCTGAAATTATGAGCACCTGTGTTATTTCCAGTGATTCTTATTTACGCAGTTTTATTCGGTTTTGTGGACAAACTGGAAACTTTTGTATTTCCTTCCTTCCTCCCATCTTTGTCACTAATGTGCAGTTTATCCTCTTTTTGTTTAAGCCGGCTGTCTCTTAATCATTTTATTATACTTTATCTTGCAATAAAATGCATACTGCCTTTATAAGTAACCTTCCCCCCCTTCCCACCCCCAGTGTACTGGCCTGCTATCTATCTTGTATCCCTATGTGAACAACCATAGTGAATTTGGGAGCAGGAGAGGGTTGACAAAAAGGTATGCAATGCCAAGCTGTAGCTGTACTCTTGTGCAGTATTTCCCAACGTTGGGTATCCCAGGTGTTCTTGCACTACAACTCACAGAAACCTCAGTTAGCACAGCTTCTGGAAAATTGCAGTCCAAGAATATCTGGGTTACCCAAGGTTGAGAACCATTGCTTTTGTGGATTGGAATCTGGGGGCTAGAAATAAAAAATCGGTATCATATTGTGTAGAATACAAGGATTCTTAAACAATAAATTGTTAAGATCTAGTAGTATAAAATCAGCCTCTTCCCTTGGGACCAACCAAAATGCTGCAAAGGTTTACAGCTCTTAAGTTCTCTAGAACAGAGGTCCCAACCCCCGGTCTGCGTCCCAGTGCCGGTCTGTGGCCTGAGCTCAGACCGGGCCATGGAGACAGACCTCTCCCCAATCCCCGCATGCACTCCCCCCTGCACAGCCCCTTTGTGCAAGTGTGTGCACCTGCGCCGGTGTGAGCATTCCCCCACCCTGTTGTGCATACGTATAAGTGCCTCCTGAGCACCGTGCTGCCTTTTGTGCATGCACACAAGTGTGTGTGTCCCCACATGAGTGCCATGCCACTCTTTGCGCACGAGCGCACGCCTGCATGAGCACCCTCCCACTCCTTCATGCATGCACACGAACGTGGGGGTGCCTCGCCTTCCCCAACCGGTCCGTGAAGTTAAAAAGGTTGGAGACCACTGCTCTAAAACTCTTTACCAAGCTACCTGGGTGGGTGTGTGTGTGGAGGGACCCAAAAGTTAAGGAAGAAACTCATTTTTTATCCTTTAATTTTTGTACCACTTAGCTTGATGAAGAATAGTAGAAAACTAAGAAGCATATGCATTTTATGTTGTTTTGGTTGGCTTCTTAATAAAAGGTGTTGCAGAACTGAAGTAGTTTTACTTATGGACTGGCACTGAGTAGAGTATGTGATATTTCTAGCCTTCTCATGAACCATGATAAGATTGTTCCCATTTTTAACTTTCCCTGTAGTATGCAGAATTGAAAGCAAAATTTCTCATTTAGTTAGATTAAACAGTAGTTTGTTTCTCTATGCCACAACAAATTGCTATTCGGATTGACCCATTAAATATCTCCACTCCTTTGAGTAGAATTCTCTAAGCAATTTTACCTTTGAAGCTTCAGCTGACTGAAGTGGTTGCTTAGTTACTGGAGTGCCAGCTAGCAGCACTGTTCCACTGATCTACATTGCTTTCTAATGTATTGTGAAGATAATTGAAATGTCTGATTAAAGCAGACTATTTGGACCTTGCTTGAAATATTTAGTGTCTGATGGATATTCTCAGAGCATTGTGTAATAAGGGTCAAAATCAGGCTTGTGCTAGGGCATAAGAGTACTTGTATGCAGTACTCCCATGCATTTATGTAGAGTTAAATTATCAAACTCCCCATGTGTTATATATCAAGACTACTAAATGAAATAGGCTTTTCAATGTCAACAGATATGTCCACTTCTAGTTTTCCATTTAGTTATGCACCCAGCAGCCAATTACTTATCTGTTCTTCATGAACTATCAGTATTTTTCCATGTATAAAATGCTACTTTTCCCTAGAATCGTTAGACAAAAAAATGAGGGTTGTCTTATACACAGAAGTAAGCCAAGGAGGAAACCACATACTTGCAAAATTGCCCATGTCTCTGCAAATAGGCTGCATCCAATCACAAGCTTTATGTAAATGACGATACACAGAAGTAAGCCAAGGAGAAAACCACACGGTTGCAAAATTGCCCATGTCTTTGCAAATAGGCTGCGTCCAATCACAAGCTTTATGTAAATGACAAACGCTGATCTAGAGGAGAGCGTGTAGGCCAGTGAAGGCTCGAGTGCATGCGGTTGCCCTGTCCCCCGCCCAAAGGGAGCCCGCGACTGGTGCTGGAGGTGGTGAACAGGTGACAGCAGCAGGAGACGGAGGAGGAGCTGCGCCCGGCTGCCCCTTGGTGCAAAATCGCTGCCACCCATTGACTGTGACTCTGGTGCCGCAGGAGAGCGAGCAGGATGGAGCGCAACACAAGAAGCTTGGGCAAAGGCTGTGCCTATATTTGGGGATGGGGAAAAAGGCATCCCCTGGCTGCCCTCTTTTGCCGGCCCAGATGGTGCCCGATGATTTGGGCACTTAGGTTCAAAAAGGTTCGCCATCACTTGTATAGGCAGTGACAGGTAAAGATCACTGAGATGTCAGAAAATAAAAAAGAAAATACGAGAAAGTCTTACTCTGCAAAATTAAAACTGAATGTAATAAGTTATGCAAACGAGGCTAAATGAAATGATTTGCTCAGCTAAGTGTGATGCATAATATCATAGTACTGGTATGCAAATATTGCCTAATTACTAAAATGTTTTCCTTTCTAATGTTTAAAATATTGATTTCTGAATTTTGGGTTAGAAAATTGGGGGGGACATCTTATACATGCGGGCATTTTGTACACCGAAAAATACGGTATCTCCTTCCTTTCCAAGTCATCTTTGCAAGTACCCATTACCATAGACTTTACTTATAAATAATAGATCTGTTGGTATTGCTTCTACTGTGCAATTCTGAGCATACTTGCTTGGGCATAAACCCCACTAAACTCAGTGGGACTTCCTTTGAATAAAACATGTTTGGCATTACATTGTCCAAATGCTGATTCAAATCCAACAGAATGGTTGCTCAGAATAATTGTGTGTGGTGAAGGATCATAATGGAGCAGACCCTTTCACAAAAGCCATGGTTAATAATAGTGTTGTCTGCCAGTTCCAAAACACTCCTTGCTTGCTCTGAGTGGCAAAAGGAGAGGGCTTTCCTTCCTCTTTCAAAAGTCTTACAGGGGGTAATTTTTTTAACACCCTCCCCTCAACAGGAGGAAAATTAACTGCATAGGCTCTGGGCTGCTGTAGTTAATGGGCCTGATCCTGTTCCTCTTGGATAGGTTAATCCAATACTGCCTGCAAATGCTAGGGCCACAGTTCGACACCACTGCCTTATACTTACCTTCTGCATTTGTACTTGGACATTTTCTCCACCAGTTAGGAAAGTTAAGGACCCAATTCTTACCCTCCTCTGCCAGTTATCTAGGAGGATTATGATTGCTCTCACTGTCGTTAGAATGATTGTTCCTGATTTTTAAAAAAATTAATGAAGTTCTTAAAGTTCCCTGCATAAACATGGATGTGGAAGCATTTTGTTCAAATTGAGCACTGTTTAGATCAGAGGCAAAACTACTTGCAACATGTCTAAATAGACTTTTGTTCTTTGTCAGTTGATTTAAATACTAATGTAAGAAAAATTAAAACATTGTGATAAAACTTAACATGTAAGCTTGTATGTTAAAAACTATTCATACATTTAAAAAAATAAATATTTTTTCCATCAGAATAGGGCAACTTTCAAATTTGAACCATCAGACGAAGAAAAAAGAAAGGTAAGTTTGCTTTCCAAGAGTATGTGTATTTTCTTTGGTTTTCATCTGTTATACTGCATTGTATATTTTTCACATATGATGTTTAGTCTACTTGTCTTGTTTTAGTAGCAGTTCCAGATTCTGTTCAATTGTTATTTTTTGAGCTGAATTGAATACATTAGACTAACCAGCTGTATTTCCTTAAAAGTACATAATTAAATCTGATGAGCTTAGACACATTCATGCTTTCATCATCATCTTCTTCATCACCATAATCTTAGAACTACCAAGCAGTTCACTGTATTGTCACTGTTGTCTCCAAATGCACATTTTTCAGAGTGTGTGCAGACTTGTTTCTGAATTAAGAACTTCATGTACATGTTTTTTTTTCAGGCACATGTACCTATCTGTACAAATTAGAATGCATTTGTCCTGGTGGCAGGCTAGAATGGGAAAATGAAGGAGATAATTAAATAAATTACTTTCATCTGCACCCACTGCTATAGATATAGGGCAGATATCTGATATTTCCAGATACTTACATGAAATATTTGACTCATCTGACATTTCGAAGAGGAAAATGAGCTGAGGCAAATAGCAGCAAGAAAGGAAGCACTAGATCTTACTGACAAATTGTGAATAAACAAATTACTGGGGCTAGGTAGTTCTTAAAAAGCTGGATGTGAAATTACTTATATTCTAAATAAAATGCCCCTAAAATCAACCTTTGTACTAGACCACTGGAAAGTGACCAATGTAATACAGTACCACTTTTCAGAAAAGGGATTCTGGGGGTCTAGAAAGCTATAGGCTGGTTAGCATCACTGTTGTTTCAGGCCCTGTGCTGTGAAGTGTTATTAACAGTAAAACTGTCAAGCGTATAGAAGGGCAAACCCTGGTGAAAATGAATCGATCAATATGGCCTCTGTGGTGATAAATCTTAGTTTCATCAACCTTTTAGAGTTCTTTGAAGGTGTCAGTACATAGCTGTACAAATAGGTTTCTTTATTTGGATTTACAAGAAAGTACCTAATCAGAGACTTATGAGCAAACATCAGTTGTGGGATAAGAGGCAAAAGAAGCAGTCCTCTTGTGGATTGGAAGCTGCTTAAATTTCAGGAAAGAGTAGGCATAAATTGTCAGTTTTTGCAGTGGAGAGTTTTGAGCAGGGGGGTTCCTCAGGGAACCAATCCCAATCTCTATGGGGACTAGTTCTTTTAAACTTTTTTTGTGCATCCCCTTCATCCTGGGACAGCCTTCAGAAGCCACAGAAGAGGAGGGAGAATTTTTTAAAGCTGAGAAATCTACAGCTGGAGTCTTGGCAGATGGGGAGAATGGAAAGCTCTTAATTTCCTAAAATGGCAACCGTATGGCTGTGTCTGATGATGTCACCAGAGATCCACATTGTAACTTGTGCCAGCAGAATTCTAGCTAGTAAATATGGTGGCATGATACTGTACTGTATAGAGCAGACCTGGTCAAAGTGCAGCCCGAGGGTCGCTCCTGTCCGGCCCGCGGACAGTTTTGAACATCAAAACCATTTACAGTATAGCTTTTTGTCTAAAGTTGATCAGTTGGTTATCTTTAACATACCGCAAAAAACCTCTTTAGTATTTGTGAAGATTAACAAGTTTAAAATACAGTACAAACAATCATAACATCACTGTTTCATTTTATTTTTAAGTAAAGTTAGTTCGGGCCCCCAAACAGAGTTCAGATTTTTCATGTGGCCCCCCTATAGAAATTAATTGCCCACACCTGGTATACAGTATGTTAACAGGACCTATCTGTTATGATTAGCATGGTAATGCTGGGAAACCTATTAGTGTGCATGTTTTGCAAGATAGGAAGTTGCCTCATCTCCCCAGTCTCCTATGTTAAGCTAAACTTAAATATCATTGCTAATCTCAGAAGCAGCTTGCAGCTAAGATTTGATTGGGCCTCCTATTACGGTGTCTCTCAACTTCTTCTTTCACCTTATTCAGGCAATGGATGTTATTGGTCGCTTAAGAGTTTGTGTGAATTATAGAGAAACTGAGGAGGGAGAAAGCTGCTTATTTATTATCTGCTTTATTCCCGCAGTTCTTATTGACTTGATTATAATCACTCTGCCCAATGAAAGCCTCCAAGACAAAATTGAATTCAATAAATTAAAAGCTTGCCTATCTCATGAGCCCCCTATGGAGGGCTTAATTAAAATCTACAGAGAACTTAGAATTGAGAAGGCCTTGGGTCAAAAGACATAATGAACTACAAAATCTTAAGGCTAGGCCTAGAGAAGGCAGCATGACATAATGGCAATAATCATTTGTTTCGAAGACAAGGAACATCATGTACTTTGACACATAATCCCCAGTGAGACCAAAATACTGGACACTGCTTGTAGGACCTGTATTTTTGTGGCAAATGAGACTCTTTTCTTGCTGAGTAAGTTGGATTTTGGTTTTCGCTTTTCCTACTTTTTGTGTGCTTTTTAACTGCCTGTTACCAAAGGAGGGGAAATTGTGGAAAATAGTACCTGTCATTGAACTATTCTCTTCTGATTTGTTTTGTTTTTTGTTAGTTTACATAGATTAAAATGCAAGACGGTTCTGATACCTTTATTAGACCACTAAAAACAATCAAACAATTAATTTGAGTTTTTGTGAATTAGTATTTCTTTAGGCAAGCAACCTTGTGGATGGTGCAGAAAAACCATGAATGAATGTCCCAAAAATTCATTTATCAGGGATCTTCTTAAGATGAGTTTAAAGCAGGTTATAGCCAGGCTTTGGGGCTGTGGTTTAATGTTTCCTCCCTGGTAACATGTGGTTGGAAATTTGCAATTGTAGAATGGCTGGATGAAATATGATATAATAGTGCATGTGAAAGCCTGTTTTGACATGTTCGTCTGACAAGACTATTATTCTCTTTGCTTCTAATAGATTTTTTTTCATATCCTTGCCTAAATGATTTTGAAATTATTGTAATAATTGTTGTTAATATTTTGTTAATAATGTTCATAATTATAATCTGTTTTCATTGCTTTGAGTCCCTTGCTGGGCTGAATGGCAATAAAGCAATTCTTCTGTTGAATAAATAGGCACAATTACACTCCTCATTCATAAGAGGGAGTTACCTATAGGTTCAGGCTTGTAGGAATAGAAAGACATCTCAGAGAAACTGCCTCCCACTGGGGACTCAGTGGATGCAGAATGCTGAAAAAAGGGGGAATCTGACAACTGGGTGGGAGAGGAAGAGAAAGGAGTGGCTGAAAATGAGGACCGGGGAAAGAGCACATAGATGTGAAATGTATGGAGAGAATCGTCCCATTGTCTAGGTATGTTATTTTCTGCATTAACTAAAAGGTCACCTTTGATATCCCTGGGGACAAAAATGAAAGCCAACTAGAGTAATTGGTGGAGAAAGACAAATTTCTAGAGTAGTTGGGATTGCGTACAAATGTGTTTAGACTGCCCAAAATGGAAGACCACTGGAACTGGCTGGTGAGGACTGGCCATGTTCAGTAGGCCGGGAATACAGACTGGCTGCTGGGATAAGAGATGAATAGAATGACTGGATCTATGAAAAGAAGCATTCCACACTATAGCACATAGTTGCAGGGTCGCGGATATGACACATTATTCTGCACTCTTTATTTATTCACAGTCTTTATTGTAATGGGTGGTATTTAGAATACATAGGAATATTATTCTCAGGTCCCCACATTTCCCATGAGTTTTTGGAATGATACTGCTTTCTTTTCAGTATAAGTTATTGTCCGAGGCTAGCAAAGCAAGGAAACACAGCTATACAAGTTTTTCTGGAACAGTTTTCTCTGTCTTAACGTATCTTCATTGAATAAAAAACACTCCATGCTCACACTTGCTAACAGTTCATCTTAACTCCTTGGAAACAGTGTAAATGATTGTGCAGCTTCATAAATATATTTTGTATAATATACTGCACAGCAGTGTCTGCTTGAAGCAGATATGCTATGTACATGAAGCTGTACAGCTTTAACTTAGATGCAGCTGTTCCCAAAATTGGGGTCCATGTGTTTCTGGACTACAGTTCTCCTTGCCCCTTACCTTTGGCTGAGCTGGCTAGGGCTTCTGGGAATTGTAATCCATAAGCAGCTGGGGCCTAAATTTTCAAAATTGAAAAGTTAAGAGGATAACAGGCAGTTACTGTATTCCTAAGAGGAGGCTGCAATTATATTCATAATGTAACTTTGTTTTAATTAAGACACTGATGGCTATATCTTCTTGCTCAGAAACATTTGAGTACTGACAATAAATTGCTCTGTTTTGATGTTCAGGAAGCAGGTAGTTGATAATGTTAGAGAATACTGATGTTGTACTTGCTTGTTATTATTTGGATCAACATATCATTAGAGGCAGGGCGTAATCTGTTTCTCTGTTGGATATTTCTTAATAATGAATTAGGTGGAGCACACAATATGCTGCACATCTTGGTCAGAAATCTATTGATTAATTATTCTTGCATAAGCACAAAGATGTAAATTGTAGCCCTAAGTTGCTGCTAGTTAACAAGTCATTGTGTCTGTTCCTCATTGCACTGGTCACATGATATTGTGTCTAACGAATACAACCAGCAGAGGTTCACTACTGTAGTTCACCATTGCATTGACACCAGTGTCCTATGAGATTGTGGCCATTAGATATATATAAGAACACTATGAGTAACATCTTACATGTTTCTTCTCCTGCATTTACAGGAACTGTGTGAAGAAATACTGCATCTACTGGACAAAAATATAAAAACTTCATGTAAAGTAGCTTGCCTGGAAGCTCTTCGCATACTTTCAAGAGATAAACAAGTCTTAGTTCCTGTAACAACAAAGAAGAACATGGAGGTCTTGATGAAGCTGGCAAAGCTGGACACTGTGGAGGATCCTTTGGAGGATGTGACTGATTTCCCTGTCATAGTGGAAGCTTTAAAATGTCTTTGTAATATTGTTTTTAATAGCCCAGCTGCCCAGAAACTTAGTCTGGAGCTAAACTTAGCAGCTTTGCTTTGCAATCTCCTGAGAAAATGCAAGGATCAACAATTTGTTGAAGACATTAAATGCTTTGATTTGCGCCTTCTCTTCCTCCTTTCCCTTCTGCACACAGATATCAGATCACAGTTGCGTTATGATCTGCAGGGGTTGCCACTGTTGACTCGGGCCTTGGAAAGTATGCTTAGCATAAGATGGACAGATAAATACATCACAGCAGAAGATCAAGAAAAGTCACCCTTATCATTACAAGAGGCAGATTGTGCCATTGAAGCACTGAAAGCTCTCTTTAATGTTACTCTTGACAGCTGGAATGTACACAGTGAGGTAAAACTTGAGCTCAAATAGTCTACCAGTTTTGTTTCACTGCCAGAGGTTGAGCTGACTGTTTTATACCCCAGTTGTAGTAAAAGTCAGGATTGTTTATGGTGACATTTTCTGCTTGAGTGCAGTTCCCTGAACACATTGTTGTTTTAATTTCAAAAGAAGGATGGTCTGTTTATCTCCAGTTGAATTTCCCATCTTGTAGAGTGAGTCTCAAGTATAGGGTAAGCGAACCTATGTTGCAACTAAGGGTGCATAGTGATGCATGTATTGTACTGAAGAATCCAGTGTGTTACATCCACACTAGACAATCTGCCATTTGAATGCCTTTCAGGACTCTCTTTTCAGCAGTGGTCTGCACTCTGCTGCCTTTACCTGCCACTTTATATGGTATTTTTTGCTTTTTTGTGAATGCTAATTTCAAAACCACAAAGAGCAGAATAACTATATTCCTGGGGACAGTGGGAGGAAGTAATTTACTTGGGGGCGGGGTGCAGCCTGAGAAGTGTAAACATGCCCTTAGGATGCAATCACACCTACGTACATTTTCTGACATAGTAAATTATTTCAGCAACAAAGTATTTCCTCTTGTTAGCTGCGTGCAAGAGAAGTTTATTCGTCACTGCTTTTGCATACAAACAATGCAGAAGAGAAGTACTTCACTACTGGAGAAAATTACTGCTTCAGAGGGCAAGTGAAAGTGCATCTTTTCCTATCAGGACATAATGATTTGTAAACAATTCTGATAAGGATTCCCCACAGCTTCTTGTTAAAAAACCTTGTTTTGCAATTTAAATAATCCAAATATAATCAGATTTGTTATAGATGGTTAATAATTGGGGGCTCAACAAAATTCATTCAGGATGGAAAAAGAAATGCTGCTTTCTGTCCTCAGTTAGTATTACATTATGATCCTTAAAAATTCTTACCTCTTGGCTAATACCACAAAAAAATCAAGGCTGCATTTTCTTCATAGGATACTTGATCTGGTCAGATACAAGCAGAAGTTATTGCAGTTTAAATATTTGTGAAAGGCTACTGGTCAAAGACATATCTTGAGCAGTATTAGAAGCTTGACATTCATCAGTAACTTCCTGATAAGAATTTTTAGTGCAGCAAATTCATTTTCTTCTGACATGCAGTCTTGACAACTTATAATTTGTATTTATGTAGAATGACTCTCATGAATTTCGATATATGGCTGCCATTCTGCGTCACTGCTTGTTAACTCTGGGCCCTAATGAAGAAAAGACAGAAGAGCTGCACAGGTTGGTGAATCAGTATTTTAAGCAGTTGAATAGCTTGTTTGATATTTTTCTGCTAGATGTAATAGATCTGCTTAGATCAATGTGTTGCTGCTCTTTATTTGTTTCTTTTACTGAAATATACTGTTAGGAAAGTGTTTTCATTACATTTTCAGTACCAAGGTCATGTATTGTGTTGGTGGTTGATTGCATTTTATTGCTAATAGGGAAAAGAAAGTAGGTGTTCACACATACATACTGCATGTTTTGAAGTTGTGACTTTACACATATAAACATGCTTAAGAGCATTTTTTTTCTCTAGCTGTGCTGTTTTCAGGAGGGAATTGTTGATGTGATTGCTTCAGATAATGGTCTTGGAACCTTGCTATTCTAAGCTTGGCTACCTGATACCCAGACACTTATAAAATGATTATTTAAATAAGTAAACTGCAATGTTCGGATGGAATCTGATAATTTCTATGGAAGCTGATTTTTTTTTTAAAAAAAAAAATCAAGCAAATTACCTCAGGTACAGTTCAATTCCAGGAGGTTGTGTGTGATGGGAGTTGTAGATCCAAGCATTCATAGGGCACAGGATTGGAAAAGGCTGTTTTATACTAATTTTAACTACAACTGTGATCCTGAAGATTGAATGGCTTTTTGTCATATGCCTTCATGAGCTATGAGATAAGAGAGAGCCATTAGCTGAAATTCAGTGGTAACTGATTACTAGAATGGGGATTTGGTGAGTCAACCCCCCTGGAAATTTCCATTTGATTCAGTGGGCTTGCTCTAGTTGTGATTTACTAGATTTCAACCATGATGTATAATAATAGAAGGATGTGGTTTTAATTTGAGAAACACAAGAAATTATACAATGTCTTCCCAACAGGTGATCAACTATGTCCCTACATTTCTCACATTGCAGATCTCCATTTGCACACTATACCAGTAGGTAGCTTCTGGTCTGACAAACAATGACAAAATGTTGAAGTGCTCACTTGAGGGAATTTGCCCTTAAGACTAGATCGATTTGAAGAGGGTGGGAATTCAGTGTTCATGGCATGGTTTAGGATGATGGTACTGCAGTCTGCAGCTGTAACTAGAGAATGCAAGTCATCTGTATACAGGTGGGCAGGCTCATTAATTCTATTTTCATACTGCCCTGAACCTGTCTGCATATAGGGCTCCAGGTAAAGGGTGAAGCAGTTATAAATAAATAATGAACTTTCACATCATATTCTGTACAGAATTAATTAGGATGTAATTTTTTGCTCACTTGTTCCCCTTTTTTTCTGTCAACATCTCAAAACATTTGTGGGTTGACCTTGAAATTAAAGGCACAACCTGAAGTAAAGCATCTCAAAGGTGAGTTTCTTTCTCTTCATGACACTTAGATCTGTCTGTTCCCTTTTCTGAGTCATACAGTAGTGGCAGACCCGCTGCTATGATAGCAACTTTTTGTGATCCGAATTAGAAGCAGAGTTTGTCTTGCCACGATATTTCTACCTGAAAACTCTGTTCTCCCGCAACTTCCATAGCTGACCATGATCTCATCTCTGTCATCCTAAGTGTCTCATGATCAAACTCAGTTCGGCTGTCTCTCTGTCCTACTAATGTCTGCCTGGTGTAAGATCTGTTCAGACATTGCTTGTCTTTCCCTTTCCACCTGGTGATGAGGTTGAGAACAGTCTTCAGGCTGAGCTTGTGGACTTTGCTGTGTTCCTTGTACCTTTGCACATCAAAGGTAGGGGCCAAAACATGAGTCCCGTAGACATTTCTACCAGGGTGGATTTAAATCATGATGTAAATCAGAAAGGTCAGATTTTTCGACAATGTAAATTAAAAAAATAAATTGTTTTTAAAATTCTGATTTAAAATTTAAAAACATTGATTTTTATCCATGCTGATTTCAGCGTGGGCTTTCTCTTGCATTGGATATGGACTACACACTGCCTTCCACTCATAGCAGTGAGGATGGTAGCCTATGAGCATTGATAAATTGCATGAGCACAAGGTCAGTTACTGATCACATTTTGTTTATAGGTGACTGCACGGAGTAATATCTGAACAGCCCCTAACAGAAGAAACTTTTTAAAAGACTATGTTTAATACAGTTTTTAAGTGATTAGTATTGTAATAGTAGTGTTTAGACATTAGAAATGTGCATTTTTAATTTTTTTTTACTACAAATCATATGATTCTCCGTTCTGGCAGCCCCCCCCCCGACCCAAACCTTGCAATTGTGCCCACCTGGAGAAAAGGGCAAGCTGGCAAGCTTTATGCCTTAGATCATAGGTCGGGGAACAGGGGTAAATTACCCCAAATGGGGTAAAAGTGAAAATCCTGGGGGTAATGAGCAGGCTGCTACCACCCTCCCTCCCACCCACCCCCACCCTCTGCAGCCAAAGCTTTAATTGTAAACCATCTTGCCCTCTTACTTCCTTCCTTGCAACAGGGCACTTCTAAATGCTCCGTGATAAGCTTCCCTAATTGGTTGCAGCTGGGGATTAGCCCCAGGCAATCAG